GAACGAAAAAAACATCGAAAGGGAAAGAGCAAAACCCTGGACAGATATGTATTTGAAAAATGTGAATGAAGCCAATAACGAAGATGTCCCCGTAATACAAGTAGCAGGGTTTTCTCTTCCCGAAATTGAAAAATGTCATTGAAGACCCCAACAAAAATTAACCTATAAAAAGGTCGGCGTGGTCCGGTACAACCCAGCCCTGTGAGAGAAAGAGGGAGGGTAGGAAGACAGGTATAATAACGCGCATATATCAATCAATGCACAACCGCCAACCCAGGCGTCTCCGCATTCCACCCCAGCGCCCAGATGGGCAATTCGGTGTCATTCACCACGGGACTAGCGCTCTTGTCACCCTCCTCCCCATCCCCAAACACCATCGCGCTACTACTATCCGTCCTTGTTCGCGAATGCCGCTTAGTCTCCTCGACCGGGAGCACCACGTCGATCGCCAGAGTGGCCTTGGCCTCGGCGGTATCGGCGGTGATGGATGGGAATTGTGGAGGAGCGGATAACAGTGGTGATGGCGGTGAGGGTGAATGGAGTGAAGAAAACGGTGATGGTGGTGACGACAATGACAATGCCAGTGGCGATGATGTTGGCGGGTATGAGGATAGAGGCTGTGGATGCATGAGCATGGGGTGATGCGGGTGAAGTGGATTTCCCCTGCTGCTGCTGCTGCTGCTGCTGCGGCTGCCACCATTGGGATTAGCAATTTCTTGGAGATGTTGATCTTGTCGTTGTTGTTGCTGCTGATGGTTATACTGTCTCTGTGTTGGTGAGCTTGGTGCAACCCAGCTAGTTGAGGGGGAGGGAAACGTGTCTGAGTGGACGAGGCTAACGCGCGGTGAGGGGTCGGACTGACGGTCACCACCGCTGTCCGAGACCGACAGGGCATGGCGGGAGCGGGAGCTGTCGCTGCCGGCGGAGGACGTGCCGTCTGGGTGTTTGGTGTGGGGAGGCGCGAAGTCCGGGCTTAATGCTAGGAATGATGTGTCGCCAATGCTCTCGCCCCCATATTTGCTGGAGGGAGGGCGGTTGGTAGACGGAGATGGGGATTTTCGGAATGCGTGAGTGGTGGTGGTGGTGGCGGTGGCGGTGTTCAAGCTTGAGGATGTAGTCGAGGTTTTGTGTTTTGGCATTGTGTGTGCGATAGAAGCTGCGGTGTTGGGCAGGTCAATGAGTGGGAAATTAGGAGGCATGTTCCCGCCGCGCTGTCTTATTACTTCAAGGAGTTGTTCTTCTTGTCTAGTCACAGCAATGACACGACTGCGACGGTTGATGGATTTTATACTATTCAGGGGGCGAGAGACTGGTAATTGAAAATCGAATGGCGAAGTGTTGATGTTGGCCGTGGTCGAGGCGGATGTGAAGGGGCCGTGCGCAGGCGCACTATCTGGCTCAGAGATGGTGTGGATTCCATTCGAAGGGCGGTAACTAGGGAGTCTGACGTTCGAGGAAGATGAGCGGTCACGCGAAATTCGCGGAGGGGGAAGGCTTGTGTTTCGGACTCTGGGCACGGAGGAACTGCGAGGGGCGGAAACGGCTTTTGCAATGAAAATTTCGGACGCGCCTTCGTCGATCGTGCCAATGCTATCACGAATAACGTGCCGCTGGAACGGCTTATGTGCCTCTGCTTCTTCCTCGTCAGCTTCATCTTCTGAGGACGAAAGACAAAGCACACTAGACTCGTTAAGGTCTGATTTGTTTAGAGTGAGCTTGCTGCTCTTTTTGGACAATCTACCGAGGGCGGTAGTCGGTGATCCTACACTAGGTGGAGTGGCGCTGGTGCTGCTAAGGTCCCAGTCATTAAAAAAGGAATTGAATCGGCTGGCTCCAGGAGTGAACAAGGGGCTAGTGTTACGGAGTTCGGGTGTGGCTTTCTTCGCTTGTTCGGGCGCCGGAGACAGTATCAGCGTTCGGCTTGAGGCTCTTGAAGTCCCACTCATACCATTTGATTGCATGCTAACCCGATTACTACTGCCACGGGAATAGGCAGACTCCCGATATGTGGACTGCTGTACAGAATGAAAATCTTGGACGCTATAGTCGATGCGCTCGTCGCCTTCAGCATTGTCGTCATCACTATTACTAACCTGACCCTCTGGCCCATCGAACCACTCGACAGCGGGTTTCCTTTGTTGGTTTGTGCGCTTCTCGTGGAATGGGAATTGGTAATGTTGCGACTGTAACTCCTCTTGCCGCTGTTGTTTTAACTGCAGTTGCTGCTGTACCTGCCGTTGCGCCTCCTCCCGTTGGTTTTGCGCTTCCGTCTTGCGCTGTTGATATTGGTCTGGCTCCTCCTTTCTCTTCTTCTGTTCCTCCCGGCGTTTTTTTTCACGGTTCTGGCGTTGAAAATACTGCTCCTTTTCTTGTTGCATCTGTTCCTGCTTCCTCTGCTGCTGTTCTCGTTCAAGCTGTTCCCGTTGCTTGCGTTCTCGGTCCTTTCGCTCCTGTTTCTGGCGTTGGCGAATTTGCTCTTCTTCCTGCTGGATCTGCCT